AACTGATTCCCAGCAGATGAAACAAAACATCCAGCCTGAATCTAACGAATTTAATTGCCTGTGAAAACAAAAAATTAAAGCACTCTTTGGAGTAATACAAAATAATTAAAAGTCTTTACAATAGTGTTCAGCAAACTTTTTCTGAAAGGTGTCAAATAGCGTATATTTTATGATTATGGGTCATATGGTCAAATGGACTCTGTTGAAACTATTCAATACTGATGTTGCGGCCCCAAAGCAGTCACAGACAATACATGAACAAGTGCATTCCAGTAAAACTTTATTTACAAAAACCACTAGCTGCTCCTACCAGTTCAAAGTTTGCCGATCTTACTCTACAACAGAACATCACAATTTCTAGCATTGATTAAGCTGATCTGGCTGGCTAGGTGGGTGTCCCCTTCCTCCCTCATGGCTCCATGTGAATCCCTCCCTAAGCAGCAGGCTCAGTGAAAGAGGAAAGCAGAAAGGGGATCAGAGGGAAATAATGAGTTAAAAAAGAAATCAAATCATATTATCAAATACTAGACCTAAATCCAAATATCAATGATTGAATATAAACAGATTAAATACCTCTCAATTGACAAGCCATAAATTATGAAATAGATTAAAAGTAAAACTCAACTATATGTTTACAGCAAAAAATTCAGTTTAAATATAAGTATATAAATAAATTTAAAATTTATAAATGAAGGGCAAATGTTAAACCACGTAAAAAGTAAGAAGATAAAAATCATTAATGTCAGATACAATAAATTTCAATATAAAGATGCCACCAGGGATTAAAGGGAGTCTTCATAATAAAAAGGCTCAATTTACCAAGAAGACATAGAAATAATAACTATATTAGTGTCTAACAAAAGAATTCTATGAAGTGTGGATCAAAATATGATAATAATGGGATCTGACAATTACACAATCATGGTAGGATATTTAAATTCCCCATCTAAGCAGTTTATAGATCATCTAGAAGTGAAGTCAGATTACCTGAGCAACCTTACTAAGCACCTTAGCCTAAATGATATTTCTAAAACACTAGCCCTAACAATTTCAGATGTAAATTCTGCCAAATATATATTGCACATTCACCTGGACAGAGTATAGATGGGTCTTACTGAATTTAAAATGATTAAACTTATACAGAGATTTTATTTATTTATTTATTGATTTTGGATCTAGGAGTACAAAATGTGAATCTTACAGTAGGTAAATGCTTAAGTGTTTAAGAAAAAGCACCTAAAATCATTACAAAGTTATTGTGCCACTTAAAAGTTCCAGCATCAGGATATGTGAATTTCAGTTCTAGTGGTTGTACATCATCAGCAATATCTTGATATTTTTTGTTTTTCAACTGAAGACTTTCTAATGGGTATGCAGCCATAGCTCTTATGGATTTGATTTGTATTTCTTAATGCAATGTTAATAATGTTGAGCATCTTTTAAGGCATGTTATACGTCTTAATTTCTGAATTGTTTGTTCAAATATTTTGCCGATTTTATTGAACTGAACAGTTTTTTTTTAAATAAGATCTACTTATCATAAATATTTTCTCCCATTCTGTGGCTTGCATTTTCATTTAATTAATAGAGTTTTTCTAAGAAGAAATTATTTTATTTTGATAAATTCAAACAATAATTTATTATTTTTTTTCTTTTTTCAGTTCATGTTTTCTGATGTCCTACATTTTTCTTAAAGTTTTATAGTTTTACAGATTCCATATTTAGGTGTATAGTACATTGGG